TCTCTTTGGATTTGAGACTTTAGTCTTTGCAACTTTACAGATCTTCTTTATGCACCAAGAGCTTGTAACACTTCAAAGAGAAAGGAAAAATTGAAATCGCATCATATGACCCCTTTAAAAATTCAGTTGAACTGATTCAAAATAAAAGGCTGTGACCCTGTACACACTGAAGCCCAAAAAAATAATGAGCCATCATACACACATTAATTAGCATACTGTCATTTAAAACCAACCATGTCACTGTGTCCAAGGCTGTTTTATCCTGAGCAGATATGCCTTTAACTGGAAAACAATATCTAATGTGTTTAAAAATACGAGAAAGTGCCTACCTGAGTGCAATTTCCACATTAATATTTAATTCAAATTATATGATATATTCAAAATCATATAATCAGGAAATTAAAAAGAGAATATAATTCTGCGACAGCAGATACATCGAGTCATCTCAAGCTTGCAACGTAGGCTACTAACTAGCCAACTACGATCATCTTTATAAATAAAATAAAATATATTATAATATAATTAGCCTACCGTCTACTGCCATGTCAACAATCCAGACTCTGCAACAATCAACAATACTCCTGTTAGATTAAAAGTTGGGAACTGAGGAGTCCCATTTTCCGCCCTGGGCGCCTTGAAAGGTGTTTCTTTAGCAGGTACATCCAATGTGCAGTGCTCGACTCACGTGCGTCACAGTGTAAAATATGAGAGTACACACATCGCGCGCTGCTCATTCTTACACTGACGCCTCCCCCCCCCCAATAGTCTGTACACTGCTTACCTCAACCAGCTCTGTTAAGAAGCCTTTTCAGATTTGTTAAGAAACCGCCTCTTTATTACATAATTTATGTAATATATTTAAAATGTACGATCTCTTAAATAAAATAATTAAAACATGCATCTAAATGTATTATATATCATAAATAAATAACATATATGATTGCTTAATGACACAGCCTATATAAAATGGGCTTTGATAATTGCCTCTTAAATCTACATATTTAAAAAGTAATTAAAATGTGCAATTCACGTGGAAACCCCCTAGTATCGTGTACTAGGTTATTTCTAAACGTTACATTTGTAACCGAAGGGGCGTTTCGTGAGAAACGGTCGTCTGATTCTCTCTCACGTCCCCGCGGCAGAACGCAAAGCCTGTAATTAGTCTGTGAACGGCAGCATGCACATTATGGTGATGTATTTCTGTGACCCTTCAAATGTTTCATCACAGTTCGGAAAATAGTTTAAAATCATTATATTGTTAGCTTTATTGACTTTACAACTGTGTTATGCACGAATGCCAGGCGTATTGCCTATTACACTACTGTTTACAAAACGATTTGAAAATCCTAACAAATAGATGGATATTTTCTTCTTGCCCTATAAACACTAGAGGGAGGCATTTCACCTCAATGCTCTTAGCAAATCTTCAGCAAGACCTCACCTAAACTCCATTCTTCTGCTAGAATGTACGGGTCCTGAGCAGAGGACCGCGTCCGCATACGAGTTTGCGAAAACAGTATGTCCTGTGAGTATCAGGCCTAAATTACATCAGAATATGCATTAATAAAGAAATTAACAATAGTTAACAATACCCACGTCATAGCCATCTGCATCCGCTGAGATTCTGAAGTGTTCAGCCGGTGGATATTTTTCTGGGACTGTCAGATTTGAACAGTTTAAAAATATAAGAAATCCTAGGAGACTGTAAGACGGAGCTCTTTTCAAGTGCAGGTTTACAGCTAAATTGTGCCTCGTGGTTACACTATTAAGTAACAACGCTCATGTAATTTAAATGCTTCATCCGGGTCAGAAGAAAGGACTTAAAGGGGTCATATGATGCGATTTCAAGTTTTCCTTTCTCTGCTTGTCGGAAGGAGGGACTTTGTAGAAAACGAAGCTTTTGAGAGAGGCGGGGCATAGAGGACCTACAATAATGTACAGTATTTGAAAAATAATGTGTTTTTTGAACATTAAAGCATGTCAACATATTTTGTTACACCAAATACACAAAATAATGATCTTTAAAAAAGCATCATATGACCCCTTTAAAGCACTAAATGTCTAGAAGTAGTAAAAATGATAATGGTGACAGTGTATCATCCAATATTGAATTTATATTTTGTGTGGAGAAAGAAAGGGTGGGTTATGGGGAATAAATGGCATACTACAAATTTGTCCCCTCTACACCCTAAAAAGTGACGTCATGCATGAAAGTGAAGTAGCATCACTGATGGAATCTGATGTTGATTTGGCAAATTAGCCCTCCCTACTAAAGTATTCTCTCTATTTTGCTACACTGTTGTGCTGAGATATTTTCTTTTCATCTTTCTGAATGGCTGTATTTGAGAAATTTTGTCATAGGGTAGCCTACAGGCTTATGATTTAAATTTCAGTATAATATCTGTAAACCTTTGATATAATATCTGTAAACTTTAAACTTTTAATGAGATGTTGAGATGATCCACCCACCATATGCCAGTGTGTACTATTGAAACAGTTAAGCAAAAAAGGGGGAATGTTACAAAGAGTGTAATATGTCAGCTGGATCTGTAATAAATGTAGGCCAAATTTATGTGTAATGTGCCAAGGAGGTTTTACATCAAGCTCTTTACTGAGTTCTATACATTCTTGCAGTTTTGTTGAAAAGAGAAGAAATTGATGGTCACTCTTGGTTCTGGACAGAGAACAAACATTCTCAGTCTTGTTTCCGTAAGTTTCAGTGTTGTGGAAAGGTGCCAGGCATCAGCCACTTCACACCAAACATAACAGTTGACTTGACTGAATCATCATTAGGAGTTGAATGTGGATGGTTGGTGCTATTTTTTGACAGACAAAGTCAACAGAATAAATGCTAGAGAATGAAAGAGAAATAACACATCTTTATCCATGTTTAAGGCCATACTAAAACCTTTGCTTATGGTTTCTGTCTCCTTATAATGAACATTTGACCCTGCACACACCCCATAGCCTATTTACCATGTTTTGCGCTCTTTAAATCGTTCACTAGTTTTGGCTTCTACAAGGTGCAAATTGTGGTTGAAATGAAAAAGGGCTCCACCCTACATGAGGTGTAACACATCATTACACCTGATGAACGCAGGTTCAGCCCACTACCGAATACAGAACAGCATTATGAGAGTTCGAGGCCTGAACAGCTGGTTCATTGTAATGTCATGTCCTGTGAACTTCCTGGGTGGAGGTGGTTGCGAAGAATAGTGTATGTGTGCCTGGTGTGGTAGTGGAAAGCCAGTGCCAACAACATACTGTGCATGTTTTGTCAAACAGTTTGTGAATAATATGAGGGTGGTGTCATACAGACAAACATACTTAACATTCGGGTGTCATTCCTTTAGAAAGCTATTGAAACAAGCCAGAGCTATGGCATGTGGTCTTTTAAAAAGACCTCACTTACAAACTTTAAATGTACATTTTTAAAGGATATTGTGCAGTCAGAGAGTCATTATCACATAATAAACCAAGACAGGGTGATCAGGACACCGTGAAGCAGAGGTTTGAATTATCCTTAAAGTCTTTGTTTTGTTAATGACATGGACATGAAATACTGATTTGAGCTGAAATTGCTTTATTTTTTGAGAGAAAAGAGTGACGTGATATAAGCATCGTGACTGAATTTTTTCATTTGATTTTGCTATTATATTGTGTATTTAAATTATGTAATTAAGTAATGTATGTGGTGTTTCTTCAACTATGGGTTATTTTTTATTAAAACGAACAAATTTTAAATGATGTTCTTTTTATATGAACATCATATTAATAAACGGTATAGTTAACTTTTTTCTGTCTTTATCATTTTTTGGGTCAGAGCACCGTGGTTCTTGGTTCCTCTTGGAATTGCTCCATTTATTATTATTATTATTAATATTATTCTCCAATAATATTGAGAGCCAAAAAATGCTCGAAAACTCATGAAACATTGCACACATTTACGTCTGATATAGTTTTCAGAAGTGGGTGTGGCAAAATGGCTTGATAGCGCCACCTATACACATTCAACAAAGTGCCCCTCGAGCTACGTTTCACGCACATGTACGAAATATGGTAGACACATGTAACACACCAATACCTACAAAAAAGTCTCTTGGAATCCGAAACTCAACAGGAAGTCAGTTATTTAGAATTTTCTTAGCAAATTTTGTGTCGTTTAGCCATTTTCAGGCGTTGTATTTTAACAAACTCCTAGAGATTTAATCATCACTAAATTTGGTCAGTGTAATCTAAAGGCCTTTGCGATGTTAAATTGCAAAGATTTTGAGTGTTTCGCCATGAAACAGGAAGTTGTTATAACTCAGCCATACAATGTCCGATCTGCCCCAAACTTCACATGTTTGATAAGATTCCTGGCCTGAACACATGCCCATGCCCATATTCAGTTATAGCCATAGCGCCACCTGCTGGCAGCAGGAAGTGGCATGTTTTACGTTGTAACTCCTCCTCCTAGAGATTTAATGACATCAACATTATATTTGGTCAGTGTAATCTAAAGGACTTTGCAATGTTAAAATTAGAAAATCTTGAGTGTTCGTTAAAGGGCGTGTCCATGGTGGCCTAACAAATTTTGATGTTTTGCCATGGAAAAGGAAGTTGTTGTAACTCAGCCATACAATGTCCGATCTGCCCCAAGCTTCACACATTTGATAAGAGTCCTGGCCTGAACACATCTACATGCCAATATTTAGTTATAATTATAGCGCCTCCTGCTGGCAACAGGAAATTACTTGTTTTACACTAATTTAAACATGCAATGTCCAATCTGCACCAAACTTCACGTTTGGTAAGAGTCCTGACCTGAAGACATCTACATGCCGATATTAAGTTATAATTTACAGCGCCACCTGTTGGCAACAGGAAATGTCATGTTTTACATTAACTCAAACATACCATGTTCAATCTGCACCAAACTTCACATGTTTGATAAAAGTCCTGGCCTGAAGACATCTACATGCCAATATTCAGTTATAGTCATGGCGCCTGCAGCTAGCAGCAGGAAGTTTGGCACTTATAAATTACTTTGACATATTTCTCCTATATTTACCACTTTAAATGCATGGTGCCCACTGTTCGCTATTTTCCTAAAACCACCAGGTGCGAGGGCCCTTTAAATGCTGCTTGCAACTTTAATTTTTTATTTTTAAAACGTTTCAAATTTTCTTATGAATAAATGTTAGCATTTGACCCTTTTCCCAGACCCAGACTTTGAATCTTACAGAAAATTAAACAGTAACAATTTTATCATTTTGCTAAAAAATATATTAAATAACACTTAATTTAAACATTTAATCTCCCCATCCAGTCCCATGCAAAGCATGCTGGGAACTAGAAATCAATCTGCAATTTTTTTTGTCAAAAGTGTCAAAAATTGAAGAAACACATTCTGTTTACTTAATTTTCTTTTACACACTTTTCATGCTAACAGTGATTTACAGATTTCATCATTTCAGACCTGAATGACCACATCAGCAGGGCCTTTGCAAATATGGAAAAGTGAAAATAGGAGCCTGTTTATACAGATTCCTGACCCTCCACATTAGAGCAGCACAGTCCTTGGAAACAGAGTTAATTAGCCACTGCAACTAAACAAAGGCATGGTGTGTTTTGCCCCTGTGGTTTTTTAGAGGGTGGGGGTTGAGGTAGTGTGTGTGTGTTTGCTGGTGGTGTGTTATAGGTGACTTTTTTGGGCCATGCACAATTAAG